CGGATGGAAGATCTTTTCTCTTTGTCTCTCCTTCTCTATATATATTTGCTTTTTCAGTGAAAATAAATAAATCTTTAAAAAGAATTAAATGTACAAATGTTGTATGAAACACCAAACCTTATATCTCTACTCATGACATACCATAATCCTTGAAGCAGAGATTACGGTGGTGTTAGGGCCAGGAAAGGAGAGAGTGGTTATTTATTAGAATATTAATTTTAAAAATCCAGTGACTTTGCTATTTATAAGAAATGATTTTAAAATGTCCCTAAACTGCCATCTGCGGTTCCAGCATTTCATTTGAATGGACTCTTAAAACATGAAAATGTCCTGAGGCTCTCTTCCTTGTCAAAATCAGCTGTCTGGGAAATGGATAGGCACGCTAATGGATGCAGTCATATGAAGAGTCTCAAGGCTTGAAGCAATGAAAGCATGATGAAGTAAAAAAAGATTTGGGCTCATGATTTAATGATTCAGTTTTGATATTGAGAAGTGACCATATCCGGGTGCCTGGGTCCATGCTGTCTTCCTCCTAACGTACAGGCTAGGAGGCAGCAGGTAATGGCTCAGGTGAAGTCCCTGCTGCCCACATGTAGACCTGGACTGAGTTTCCAGAATCTGGCTTTGGCCTGGCACAGTTCCAGCTGAGGCAGGCATTTGAAGGACTTTTCTCTCTCTCTCTCTCTCTCTGTTTTTCTTTCTTTCTTTCTTTCTTTCTTTCTTTCTTTCTTTCTTTCTTTCTTTCTTTCTTTTTTTGGTACTATGCAAATAAAACATTTTTTTTCAATTAAGAAAAATTGGACAATTGTGTATGTGCACTAGATCAAAAAAATCAAAATGATGCCTTTATTATTGCCCTTCCCCCACTCCCACATTAAGAATAATTTCATAGCCTCTGTTGTTTGGGGACGATACTAGCACCCACTGGCAGTCTGCTAGATCTGTGCTCAGTGGAGCCCTTCCATCTCTGAAAGCAGAGACACTTAGCAAAGCAGGGGCGAAGCCTAGAAAAGGAGTGCAGTTCTTTAACATCTTAGCCTAGTGCTCTAAGAATAATTCACTGTTTAACTGATGCACAAAGTTGTGGTCTGCTTTTTTATGATGCTAAAACTTGTAGCATTGGTTCCAGTTCCATTCAATAAATATTTGAGTACCTATTGCACCAGCTCTATAACTTTAATTTGCAGCATATCTAAAACATCCCGTGGTCCTTTCCTATAATTCGTATGACTCATAATCCAAGAAGGCCGAGCATTTGCAATGGAAAGCACCATGATCAGGGAGCTAGAGAAACCCTGCTTCCCCGCACTATGACGTGAAGTAGCTGGGGAAGTTATTTACTTCTTAGCTCTCAGTGTGTTGTTTCTAAAAGTAACAAACTTCTAAAAAGTTATTTCTCACGTAACTTTCACTTCTAAAGTGAAAGGGCCAGGAGTAATAGATTTCTAAGATTTCCCATGGTTCCAAAAAAAAAAATAAATAAAAGCAGCATTTCTGTCTTAATCCCAAGAACAGTCAAATAGAAACACTCCTAGTGATTCATATGTATAACCTGCTCCATCACCGGAACCCTTCCAAACATTAGGTGGGGTAGGGGTTGGACATGGTGCTCCTCAGGACTGTGATGAATAGTAACCCAGTGTGCAGACTGCTGAATACACCTGCAGAAACCATCTCCCTTGTAAACAAATGTAATCTGGTTGTTTCAAACAACAGGCATGGGTCCACAGGACACTCCCTGTAAATCAGGTTGTGTTTCCCCAGCTCTGTCTATGCAGTGCGTTGCTCCAGGTCCCTGTCAGGGCCTGCTCAGCTGAGACTGGGCGTCTCTCTGGTGTTACTTCCTGCTCTTCCTGGCTCTTCTTCCCTCCCTCTTCATTCAAAGCTCAGCTCCTGATGTCACCTCCTCCAGAAGCTTAAACTTTTGTTGTGAATTTCCAGGTCATGTTCATTCCTCCTCTTACATTCACGTCCTACCTTGTATGGTAGTCATTATAAATAGGCCTTATCTCCCGAGCTAGACTGCAAGATCCTTGCTAACACACTCCTATATCATTATGAAATCTAAACCAAGTCTTCGTGCCCGGCCTGCTGCCCTCTCTACAAGGTATAACCCTCACACAACTCTGGAATTCCTTCTGCCCTGTCTCAGTGTTTGGTCTAATGGTTCTGTTTCCTTAGGTCCTTTTTCGAAGGGTCTGTTTACTCCTGTTTTGGGGAAGTTGGGTTGATGTAATTCTTCTAGAAGGAACTTGGAAACTTCAATCCATGTTCCTAAATTGTTGTGTTGGGTTGAATTTTCCAGTGAGAATTCAGCACCAGTTCTGAGAAGAGACTAATATGATTTCACTAACTGCGGGTCTGTTTCCCTTTTAGTCTGATCAGGTTAAATATTTTATTTTAGAAGAGAAGAGAGGAGACAGCACTTTGTCTGAGATTGGGACGGACTATGAGCTAAAAATTGGTCTTGGGGCTCCATTACTTCCATCCCTTCAAAATATGTCAAAAACAGAGACAAACACATTTTCTTCTGCTCTGGATTTTACTCAAGGTTACCTGAGGATTCGGATGAAAGCAGATCTGTGTGCAAGTATTCTTTTTGACCCTGACTCTTTCAGCTTTGTATAGACCATCTGGCAGAGTATAGACTGTGGTTGGAAGGCAGTGGCACATGCACAGGAAAACCATCACACAAGTTCTTCAGGGAGAGAGGCTATTCTTGCAGAAATGGGGCCACTGGCCAAGAAGGCAGCATGGGGTAGCACAGGTGCCAAAATCCCAGGAGGATTTTGGATTTGCACTGACAGGGGAGTCTGTACCCCAAAGCACCATGCAACTTATTACGGAAATGCCAAATATGGCTAGACCTTTGCCTAAAGAACTCTGTCAAACTGTGAAACTGCTTGGCTAGAGCCAGGTAAGGCACATCAGTGACCTTCAGCTGCATTGCATGTGTTTTATATCGAAGTGCTGCCCAGGGTGCCAAAAGTCTCCCATCTTCGCCTTTGTTCCGTTTTTTGTAAATCAAACCGCAAGGAACAACTTCATGTCAAACTCGGACCAGGGATAATCTTTTTAGATGGATGGTGTTTACCTCGTGAAGCACCACTGCTGCTACTGATTTCCACAGAACAGTTTTCCCTTTCACAGGTCATTCATCGATATTCTTCTCCCCAAATTATCCTTCTTTATGATTAGTAAGCACATTACACACGTTGATTTTTTTCAGGAATTTGACTGACCCTGGAGTTATCGGCGGGCAGGGGAGGGAGGGGGGCAGGGGGAAGCAACCACACACCATCTCTCTTCTCTTTTAATTTAAATTTTACAACTAAAAATTTGTTTGGAGAGGGAAATGGAGCGTGGTAAGCTAATGACAGCTTTCCCTTCCTTAGCTTTTCCCACGTCGGAGCCACATGCTCCTATCAGCTGCCGACTGTGTGGGGAAGTTGGCAAGGCTGTACTCATTAAAGGGAAGCCTGGAAACCACTCGGGAAAAGGAAAACAAATAAACAGCCAAAAACGCAGGAAAAGGAGACGAAATGTGTCAGCAAAGGTATAGGTTCTATAACTCGTGCTCCTGCATTTTGGATCTCTCTTGGTGGGGAGCGCAGAGGGAAGGGAGAGGTGGCAAAAGCTTAGCTGGTGCGGGATTCGCTGTTGGACCCGCCCGGGTGACTGGGGTCTGGACAGAGTGGCACGTCGGTAACTTGCCTTTCACCCTGCCGGGGAGGACACGGCATAAACGGGGTCCATCAGCTCCCACTGCCTGCCATGCATCCTCATGCCACCCTACACCTTCATAAGGACGTTACACAACTCCTCTCTCCTCCGTCGCATCCCTTAGAAGTGGTGCCACGGTGGTGCTTTGGGGATTACAGGACCAGATGCCCCTAGCGACGTCGTAGCAGCCCTGGCGACAAGGGTGCAACCAAGACCGCACAGCGTGCTGCTGGGGCCTCCGGTGGCGGCCCAACCCGATTTCGGCAGCTGAGCGGGTCCCTCCCCTTTGCGTGTTTCGCGGGTGAATGAATGGTTAGTCAAACAGCACCACCCCGCCCCCGTCAGCCCGAGATTGGAAGGGAGGAGTCTTGGAGCGACGGTTCCACTTTTTACGAGCGAAAGGCATTTGCCCCCATGCGTTTGTTAATGGACCTTGCGCGTCGCTCAGACTTGTGCCTTCCCTAGCGTAGGACCAGACACGAAAGCACGCCACACCGACCTCTTGCGCCCCTGGCTTGGGAAGTGTGAGGTCGCGCCCTGCCTGAGGGGAGAGCGGCGGCGCGTGTAAAGTCGGGGGTTTGCTTGTGCGGGGCAGGAATCCCTTCCCACAGCAGGAGCACCCGGGAGCGCCCCGCGTGCCGCTGGCTCCTGGGCTTGGGACACAGGGGCGTGGGCGCCGCGGCATCCCCCGTGGGCGGGGAGGGCTCTCCCAGGAAAGGGAGGAGGCGGCGCGCCAGGCGGTGGAGACGCACCCTCCCAGCAGCGATCCGCGAACGCCCGGGGCGGGCAGCCTCCCGGGAGGTGCTGGAGAACCCGCTGCACACCAGTACACGACGCGCTCCCGGCGCGGGGGTCCCACACTCCCTCCTGGGTCCGGCCGGCAGCAGTGGATCCCGGGGTCGGAGCGACCTGGGAGCCCGGGACTTGGGCGCCGGAGCGAGCGCGCGCGCCGGCTGGGCACAGGGCCGGCGGGAGGTGGGAGCGCAGCGATCGAGGACGCGGCGGCAGCTCCCGCGCCCGGAGCAGCAGCTGCATCGGGCGCCGGCGGTCGCCGCTCGGCTGGTGCGCGGTCCGCAGCGCCGCAGCTTCTCTCCGACAGCCCCCCGCGCCTGGCCCCCTCTCCCGTAGGGAAGGGCTGCCGACTCCGCCGCGGCGAGCCACACTGCTTTCAAAAAAAAAAACGCCGCATTGGAGGAGCCCGGCCGCAGGACCCCTCCTCCGGGGGCGCCCCCCACCCCCTCGCCGCGCCTCCCGCCCGCCCCCGCGCCCCCTCCCCCGCGCCCGGGCGCCCGCCTCCCTCCGCCGCCGCCGACTGTCTCCCGACGCGCCGGCCGAGAGTCCTTTTTGACTGCTCGCGGCGGCAGCCGAGCTGAGGCGGCGGCGCGGGACCTGCAGTCGCCCGGGATTCCCTCCAGGTGACGATGCTCTGGTTCCCCGGCGTCAGGGCTCTGGCTGAGCGTCCCCGCCGGCGCTCGCCGGGGATTACCTGCTGCGTCCTGCTGCTGCTCAATTGCTCCGGGGTCCCCATGTCTCTGGCTTCCTCCTTCTTGACAGGTAGGTCGGCGGTGAGGGGCGGAGGCAAGGACCCTCCGGGACGCGGGTCTGATACCTGGGAGAGGAGACGCTGGCAGACCCCGGGGATGGCACCGAGGGTGGGGAGTGCGCACCTTGGCGCCTGCCTATCTCGGGGCATTGGGGATGAAGCGGAGCGCACAGCGGAGGAGTAAGGGGTGGGCTGGGAAAGGGTGCCTTGGCTATGGGCTTCATGCGGACAGAACACACACTTTTATTTCGGATTTTAGAAATTCCCTTGTTTTTCATATTTCCCTCAGCACTTATTTTAATCTCTTCCTTCCTATACAACTAAGAAAAAAAAAATCTGCGCAGTTTCCCGCACATTTTCCGGTGAGCTCCCAGGTTGCCAAAGTGCGGAGGGAGTGCTTCCCGACGCCCCAGCTTTGCAGACCTTGAGTGTAAGGAAGGGCAGGGGAGCTGGGCAGGCGCTAACAAGGATGCGTTTTCAGGTAGGTGAAGACCTCGGCCGCTCTTCCGAAGGACATACTTTGCTGACACCTGGTGCAGAAAAGAAACTGTGGCGGCAGTTTCTAAGAGAAAGCAAGGAAGATTGCGTTTCCGAAATGCGCACCAGCCCGGGGCAGGCAGACCTGTTTGTTAGGCCTGTTTGTGGACACATCCGTGAATTTTGTTCACATTAAACATCTTCCCTAAGATAGGGATCTCTGAGTCTGGAGGGAGTGTGTTCAACTGAAATGCTAAGGAGAGAACGAGAAATGCAGCGAACGGCTCAGAACTGCTTAAGCCATTGGAAAATAGAAAATCTTCCTATAAATTAGTTGATTTTTTTTTTAAGTTTAGCTATATAGCTAAGTAGGAATTACACAATGACAGAAACTTGTTTTTGGTGAGTTTGTTCATTTAAAACTCATGAAGAATTTGTGGAATTTAGGTAGACCTTTCTCGAAGGATTAGTGTAAAAATCTTGAATTTTGTGATAATGTCACTAAGTTGTATGTCATGGAAGGGGGAAAAAAAAAGCATTGTTGGCTCCTTTCAGGTTCTGTTGCCAAATGTGAAAATGAAGGTGAAGTCCTCCAGATCCCGTTTATCACTGACAACCCCTGCATCGTGTGTATCTGCTTGGTAAGTGCGGAGAGCAGGTGACCTGCACGCCCCTTACGCCCTCTCACAGCACAAGCCAGGTCTGACGCTTTGCTTTGAATCATTCCAAAAGCACTGAATTCAATCAGGCTGCTCTGTGGCGGTTTCCGTTTTATGAGGCTGGGGATTTCTTGACATCATGACCTTAGAAGTGAACTTACCGTGGACTTCTGTGTGTCATTGCCATGCTGCAAAGGGCAGCAGCATGCCATGTCTCTTCCTGGCAGTGGCTGTCCCCGACAGATCACAGGCGCTGCGGCCCTGGTATTGTCATCCGGTCCAGGTCAGGGATAAAGCTTTTTGTGACCACAAGAGATGCCCGCCACGAAGGACAAGTCCAGGGGCCGGATGTGGTGGTGAACATCTTTACTGAGGTCTCAAGTGCAGGCTTCCTGGGCCCACCAGGACAGTTCTAGCCATGACAGACACAGATAACCCTGAGCAGCCAGAGGCTTGGTTTATTAACACTTGCACTGGCTGGTCGACTTAAAGCCATGATTTATTTTTAAATTATTTTAGCTTACGAGGTAATGTTAAGGCCAGGAGGTTACCACTTGAGGGAGATTCAGTTACATGAGTAAAAGTTTTTGAGATGAAACATAGACCCACCACGGGCAACATTTTTGCTTCCAAGAGCTTTTGTACCCATCACTTTTGGCAGACCTGATTAATAACTGCACAACACAGAACCCTACTGGAAATAGGTGAGGCAGTTAAAAGCAAAGCTCAGAGTGACCACCAGGACGGACCTGCTGGGATCGGCAGGAGTGGTCCCTCGTCTTGATGTGAAAGCCGAGCCAACTTTTCTCCAAGGTGAGGGATCAGGTCAGTGTTACCAAATGAGGTCTGGGTGAAGGTGAATGCCTTATCAAATGGTTATCAGTTTCCGAAGAAAATCAGCAGAAGCTAGTGAAAATGTACCATGCCTCCTCAGACCATATATTTTACTGACTGATAAAAGCAAGAGAAAAAGCTAAGAGAGCCAGGGATTCTTTAAATTTCATTTATGAGTTGGTATATTAATGATCTTTTACTAGCAAACATGTTGGAAAAGAAGCTTTTGAATTTAAATCCTAAATCATGTATCTATTCACAAATTCTGTTGTGTGTGTGTGTGTGTGTGTGTATAACCTTTCGTTTTCTTTATAATACGAGTGAATTATTTTATGTTAACCTCTAAAGATTTCAGCCATCCTGACCGAGTAATATTTAAATGTGCTGAGAGCACCACATATGAAAATACTGTTTTTCTTGTTGGCAGTGTTACTATTTATGAAGTTTAAATATACAGTTTGAGCTTTGTAGACTGTTCCCAAATACCGTTATGAAAACCCTTCTACACAGCATTTTCTTTGCTGTACTCCTACCCTGGTGGGAATACTGCTTTATTCTGAGAGTAGAGGGTTTAGCAATAAGAAAATGTACATCAGAATCCTGCCATTAAAAAGATAAAGGATAAATCAGGAAAGGAAAGAAATTCGAGTGGGAATAGCATTTATTGACAAGAAGTATTGAGGAAGTTCACAAAGGTATTAGGTGCGTGTAAGTCTTTGACAATTAAAGTTTGCTATCATGTGGCAGCATCTGCGTTCAGTGGGTCCTGTCAGAAATCCCTGGCACTGAGGCAAGGGTTCTCCGTTATACAGCGGGTCCCTGACAGCTTTCTTTCCTGGGCTGCAAGGATCAGGGATGTGTCATCAATGCCTTTACAAGGGGTTTGAGGCTGTGATGCCGAGTTGTCACACTCGCTGTCGCTTCCACGTGTCATGTCTTACTAAAGTTGAGTCAGGATAGGTACGCAACCATTTTGGTCTGGGTAAGTACTCTTGTACGTTTCTGCAGCATCCACTGCACTCTTGGGGTTTCAGACCACACTCGATGGCCTACGGGCCACTTCCATTTTGATCCTTAGCCTGGGAGGTGACCACGTATGGCATGCTGTTGATTTTAACCATAGCAACATGAGGTAGAACACTTTTTATTCACCAGTCATTTTTCTAAGCCTGTATAATTTCTTTTAATCCTCACAAAAATCCTGGAGGGGTTTTACCTGTGGTTTGGAGAGGAGGAGGCTGAGTAGCTTATGAAGGCTTCGATGTCTAAAATTAGTGCTGCTACTTGGTCCTGTCTGTGTTGGGAACACATGCCTATGCTCATGAGAAATGGGTGATTTGTTAAGTGGATGCCAAAAAGAAGCAGTGAGAAAATAGACTGTGAACATGGCTTTCATGTTTTCTTATTCTTAGAGTCATTATCTCTTTTTGTGTGTGTGTCTTTGAGGAGTTTGGTTCTTTAATTTGGTAATCATGTTATATAGAAGGAAAAATCTTGTTTTGATTTTACTTGACCTGCAGGGAGTGTTAGTCAAGGGCTGATATGATGTATGCATATTAAGAGCATGTGGAACAGCCTCAGCTGTGCTTTGGGTAAAGACCACAGTAGTGTTTAGTTTGTGTCAGTGCAGGCTTTAGGCAGAAAGCTACCTTAGGATAAGCATAAACTCATACCATAGTTCAGAATATGCACTTAAAAAAAAACAAGAAACCAACCTCAGTGTATGCTTTAAAAAAATGTAACATGTTAGCAGTAGGAAGGAAAACGGTGGCTCAGTGTCACAGCTTGATAAAGCCTACAGAATCGGAACTAGCTCACTACTGTGCTCATCTTCAGAGTGACACTGGGCACAGTGACCACTGCAGGCAGAACTAGATGATTTGAGTCTCGTCATGGTCTGCCTGGACCTGCGCATCTTGCCACAGCCGGCCACAGTACAAGAACAACCTACTTGCTAGCTGGGAATGAATTCTGTTCAGCAGTGTAAGGGCCAGAGAGCCTTGCTTCATCTTCTACACAGGTGGTGAGGAGTCAAAGTCCGGTGCTAAAGTCTGATGGCTGGATGGCTGTTTAGGGTAAAGGTGCACCTGCTCTATTTTTAGTGAAAAAGCCAAACACTGGCTCCTTCAGCATGGCCTGGAGCAGAGATTGGACTTCCTACAGTTTTGTGCGATTCTCCCCAACCCCTCCTGCTTGCTAGTATTGTTATCTTCATAATGCCTTGGGAGACAGTACAGTAAGAGCCATCCACACGGATATCAATGCACCTGAAACAGTTCTCTGCCTGCTGAGAAGTGGTCCTCACCCTCCGCAGCCCCTTTCCCTTTAGACACAGCATCGGAGGAAATTGTCGATGCTAGTGTGTTCGGTCCAGTCCTGGAAACCTGAGAAAACGGTGGAGGCCAGGATTCAGAAAACCAGAAGTCAGAGCTTAGTTTGGCATACACTTTGTTCAGCGAAAAACATTATTCTGAGGTTGAAATTTCCTCTTTTAAATCCAGAGGTGCAATGTCGAAATGGACCCTTCGCTCATAAAAAGCAATGTGAAATTCAGTGTTACAAGAAGCAGGGCCCCACCTATCTTGGAGCCAACCAAATAGTGAAAACAGAGCAGACTTTGTCTGCTGGGCTTCCACTTTTTTAATCACACACAGAAAATTCCTCTATCGCTGGAACAAGTAGCTCTCAGCATCTTAGCTTCTCACGGATGCCTTATCTCCACAAAATCCTCATGTTTTTTGTTGTTCAAATTAGCTGGCTGGAGACTAGATGTCCATTATCTGAGCAAGTGTTAGGCATATGTGTGAGAATGAGAGAGATAATGTTGCATCAGGAGTCAGTTCAGTTCCTCTGTGTGTGTGTGTGTGTGTGTGTGTGTGTGTGTGTGTGTGTGTGTGGTGAGGCAGGTTGTGGAAGAGATGTAAATTAGTCCAGATGTGTTCAGAAAGATACTGCTCTTGGTATGTGCACAAACAAGGCTACTGCAAAAACATTCGTGGAAAAAATAGAATTCGAAGGTAAGTTAACTTTGGTGCAAATTTGAAAATCTAGGTACCATTGCACACTTAATTTCCTGTTCTTTTTGTTTCTTTCTAAATGTTACATACTCATTAGGGAATCAAATGACTTTTTGATTGATTAACATTGTCTAGAAGGTGATGGGGCCCATTGCATGTCAATAAGGTACCTGGGGCTAGGTACTGTGGTACAGTAGGCTAAGCCTCAGATTGTGGTGCCAGCAGACATGGGCACTGATTCATGTCCCAGCTGCTCCACTTCCAATCTGATTTCCTGCTTATGGCTTGGGAAAGCAGCGGAGGATGGCTCAAGTGCCTGACATCCTGTACTCACATGAGAGACCTGGGAGAAGTTCCTGGCTCCTGGCTTTGGATTAGCTCATCTCTGGCCAGTCTGGCCGTTTGGGGAATGAACCAGTGAAGGAAGCTCTCTCTCTCTCTTTTTCTCCCTTTATGCAAATCTCTCTTTCAAACAAACAACAGCAAAAAACAAATCTTACATTATAAAAGAATGGTTTGAGAGGAAGACAGCCAGTTTCTAGAATTGTGCTGTCAGGTTCACAAATTATTTTTGTTTGCCTTTTCCTCAGGCTAAGAGAGCCAGCACAGATCTCCGGATGCCACACAATTCTTCAGAGACAAAACTGAAGTTGGTGAAGTTGGTTGTTTCTCCACTAGAGCTATTTGTTTCCTACCTAAAAATGTGTACAGAAGCCTTCACAGCTCTTGGAGAGTAGTTTCAACCTCCTCAGGCTGATAACAGGGCCTCTCTTTGGGGGAGAGTTAGATTGATTTTGTAACACAAACCAAGTCTGGAATTTTGAAAGCCCTTCAAAAGGAGGCCCAGGCTTTGGCTGGCATCAGATCGTTTTGGTAAGGAGCTTGGCCCAGGCACCAGACAAGGCTAGGTTCAAATCTTAACTGATGCCTGAGTTGTGACAGTTGCTTCCCTTTTCCACGCCTCGTTCTCCTTATCTGAAGAGTTCATAATAATGTCCAACTCACGGAGTTGCTTTGAGAATTAAAGAAGATGTACAGCACTTAAGTCTGGACCCATGGCTTGGCGTATAAATATTCTGGAATGCATTTTTATTGTTATTGTTTATAATGATCTTTCTACTGTCTTAAAAA